TGGAGAATATTTATCTTTTAAGAAATGTAGATCACAGTCTCTACTCATCCTGAGTTGCAAGCATTTTCACCAATAATCATGCAAACTCTTCCTTTTTGGGCTGTCAGGGCATCCAGGACCCGGCGGATTTCAAATACAACAGAGGCTAGGTTGTTGACGTCTAATTGAAGTGCTTCTGATACTTGTATGGTGCTATTACCATGGAGTGACTCAAAACTGTCTTTTCAATCTCATGAATTCCAAATGTCGGGCAGAGCCCTGAGCACCAAAAAGAACTTAGAATTGTGATATACAAGTGGGTTTTTAATAATATCACATCTAGTATGTTTGCTTGGTACCACTTTATGAATAAAAGAGCCTAAGTTTGTTACCTGGTAACAAAGAGTGTCAGATAATCAGGTTCATAGTGTCCTGACCAGCTAGGTGAGAACCACCTGTATACTTTATCACCACACACAATAAAAAGACCAGTGTTACTTACAGATAGGGTCAGGCTGGAACCTGCAACCTCCCAGTCTGGAGCTTGCTGGGCCTCTTCTTCCTCAATGGCACTTCCACAATTCCAGTGTCTGTGTGTTCCTGCCAGTTTATGGGAGCAGAACAGTTTATGAAATATTCGATATTAAAGGCCTTTGGTCTGGTTCTGGAAGTTATAGGGCTTAGTTTAGTCACTTAACCAAGTCAGTCCAGACTTTTGCTCTGTCCATATACAATCTTTAGTGTTTGGCAACTTAACAATGGGAGCAAGTGAACTACCCCAAGTTGCACAGACCTGGCTTGTGAACCTTCCATGCATAACATTTGGTGATTTGACAATCGTTGACATCATGAAGGTTAGTGTCAGCACCATCTAAGCATGCAAGAATGTCATTCTGTGGAGTCAAACACTGGGGTTTGACTGTAGTATTGCCCTAGTCTGTAACCCAGAAAAGGTACAGCATCATCCCTGTTTTCAATGCAGAGGGAAAAAATTCTTATTTTGGGGTGAAATTTCCTGAGCTTCATCAACCTGGAAGGCACATTGTAATAGGTGCCTGGGTATGTATTTTAAACAAAAACACAACCCTTTGGCCAGCATTTGGAGTTTAAGACAATACTGTTACCTCCCAAACGGAGAGGTTCTTTCCCTTGGCAGGTATCAGTAAGTAGACACAGCCAAATTGGTAGTTGGTTATAGCAAGAGGATATTATTACTTGCCACAAGGCAGGACCACTCTGGTTGGATTCCCAAAGCAGAGTGTCCTTGAACAAAGTGGTTGGATTGGTTTTCTAGTCAGAGGGTAATGAGAAGTGATCTGATAGAAACCTGTGAGGGGGTGGTGCCAGGAAGCATGCTCTCACGGGATCCTGCCGCGTGGTAACACTATTGCTTGATCACATAGGATCCTGGGTCTTGCCATGTGGTGTCCGTTTCTTAATCCAGTCCTCGCTCCTCAGTCCACTCTGAGCACTTAGGTTCTACCTATGGTTGCACCCTTGATTCATCTGGGCATGCTCAGGTTACCCCCTTCAACCTGGGGATTCATGACAACTGAAAAACAACTCACAGCTTTGTTGCATAAAAGTTGAGCCGGATGGGTCTGGTGCTGTTACAATACCAGAAAATTTGGAGAACCTCAGATTTTCTTGAGTGAAGCAAAAACTTTGGTGATTGATTTAGGAGCACTGATGTTTTTGCCATGTTTATAATGGATTTGAGTGAAAAAAGAATAGAGGTAATAAGACCATTCCTGCTACGATTGCAATAGATCAGAAATGGTCTAACAAGTCTGAACCAGGCTTTTTCCGTGCACTTGTTGAGCAGGTAACTACTTTGCATAAGGATCTAGTTAAAATTATACCTGCATCTCTCTATGAATGAAGGTTGGGAATCATTCGTATTACATTAGAGCATTAAATGACTCTTCTGAAAATACTGTATTTCATACTTAAGAGTTATAGTGAGTTTAATGTTCATTACAATATGCTCATATGCATGTCTCAAAAATATAGTGCTAAGTTGATAGCCTATAACTTCTTCTTTTAACACTGTTGCTGGTTTGTTACATCACCATGAGATGTAAGTGCTAAAATTTAGCATAATATTGGGAGCATTAACTCAAGCCATATAGAGCCTTGTAAACTTAGAACTGCTTTTTTAATGTGTACTATTTCGTTTTTAGAGACAAAAAGAAAAGGCTACAAATCATGTTTATAATTTCCCATTATGACAAATAATCAAGTATTTGAAATTTCCAAACATTGCTTTGTTAACTTTTAAATAGGATGCAATTCTGACCCCCATTTAGTAAGACCTGAAATCACCGAAGTGTGCATACAGAATAAGTATGCAGAATAGTAGCCAATTCCTTTAAACCTAATTATGTCAATATGTAGTCTCCTGCCTCAGATATGATTCTTCCAGGTAGATGAAGTTTACATAGAAAACCAATTATTGTGTATCAATTTGAATTACTTTTTCGTTTTTTATTTTTTTTGTGCTCTAGAACTTACTTGCAAGTGCATTTTTGAATACCACATACATTCAGATGTCAAGTAGGTATTTTAAATTTAAGTAATGAGTATAACTTACACAAAACTATAAATCTGAATATATAAAAGTATTCAGATGTTTTATCAATTTACCAAAAATATTTTATTCTTATCTATGTGTATAAAATATACAACTTGTGTGTGGAAGAATTATTCCTGACTGTATTTCCTTAAGTACAAAATAAAACACTAAAGATGAAGATCAAGAAGGAAACTATTAAATAAAAGAGGAAGAAATTTGTTTGAATCCATTGCCCCACAGAAGCTTCTCAACATTTACTACTACTTACTAGATTTGCTTTGTGTAGTATATACAAACCATCCTCTGTTTAAGTACATGTTTTAAATCCATACCCAAGCCAATCTGTGGTAGATTAATGTACTTCTTCTTCTTTTGAATAGACTCAAAATTATACACTACAAACAGACTAGAAATTGGACTCTGAGAGATGAGCCAGGGCACAAGCTAACTGATTCCTTTTGTTCTTCACCCACTGGTAGATCCAGCTCAGTTATAGTTTTGTTCTGATAACTAAAGAATAATGAAATTAGGCAAGTGGCTGGCGCCCCCTATAGATACATTTGTAGTGTTGATCTGGGTAGCTTTGTAGATCCAGATTCCAGAGCCTTAGTTTAGGAATCAGATGAGTAATTTTAGTACTTATATGTGTGGGATAAATTTCAATTGATAAATTAATATTTGCATCAATATTAATGTTACATGGTATAGCATTAATTATTCTTACCAAAGAAAAACTTTAATATTACATCTCTAGGAATGTAGGTCTATTTATGTGGGGATAGCTATAAATGGTATCCTTTAGCATCTTATACCTATGTAATTTCATATTTTGTGGATTCAATTCTTTTGTGGCTCAAAAACTCTAATCTCTGAAAGAGACATAAAATTCTACCTTTACTTGGGGAAGGAGACTTCTATATAGTATTTCTTATTGCCTCTCATATTAAATTATGATGTTTGACCCAGGCCATTTTGCCTTTGCCCTTTGGCCCAGCAAAATCTTTATCAGATTGTAGGGGAAATTAGGATTACAAGAATTAATATACCCAAATTAAAACTAACAGTAGTTAAAACTGAACACAGTAGAATTTGTTATTGGCTCTAAATATTGATGGAAAAATCAAAACTTCTTGACAAAATTTAACCCTGGACCTAGGAAATGTTGACTTAATTAAAATAAATATATAAAATGAAAACCTTAGTAACATAAAATATGATGAGTAAAACTTGACATGAGCCCCACACTAATGAAGGAGTCAAATTTTACTGTGAAATGTACATACAATAATTCCAGTATGATTAAAATGAAAATAGAAATATCAGAATATAAGTGTGACGAATAGAGGATATGAATAAAGAATTAAAATTATTTAGTTGAATTAGCTCTAGAAAATAAAATGTCAATGATCTATCAATGATGGCATAATTCATACAAATATGTTTGTTTGCAATCATTTAAAAAAACAAAACAAATGGTTTTCATGGTCAAAGGATTTGGATCACAAATATCCACTTTTTTGTAAAAGGGGGTTCAAGAGGGCAGAATCAAAATATCTTCTACCCCTCTAATGTACAATATCATGGTAGAAGAGGCTTCTCTCTCACCAGGCTTACACTTAGTAATGGACAGCTTATTTTTTTTTCTTTTTTTCCTTGTGTTTACTTAATCATTCATATGAATACATCATTTTCAAGTTATTTCACATGGACATCATCGTGGCCATGTGAATTAGCTATTATCCATTTTATAGCCCAAAGAAATAAAACAAGTTACCAGAGGACTCATACATAGTAGGTGGACCAACCCCTAGAAACAGAAACTATTCTAATTCCAACTTCAGGATTTTCACTACACCACAACCATACCTGGCAAATACTGATGAACACATACCCATAAAAAATTGTTCTTTATTACCATAATTGGTAGTTAATATCACCCATCCTTCTTGAAACTGGTGTAGCTTATGCCATATGACCAGTGGCTCATGAATTTCCATGACTTCATAATCCTTTGTCCAAAGTTGGGTAACAGGAATTCTGTCCCTAGGACCAGTATCCAAAAAAAAAAGTTCCCATTTGCAGGATTGCTACAGAAAAACTGTGTGACTCTGAGTGTTGAATTTCACTTCATTGAGCATCAATTTCCTCATCTGTACTATTAGGATGATCCTATCTACTGTTTGTTTTTCCAGATTGTTTTATTAACCAATACTAACAAAGCAGTAAGCTTCTAGAGATGAATGGCAAGATCTTCACCATTTTTAGCCACAGAACCTACTATAGCATCAGACGACGTGATAAAGAGGAAAGAGCAACTAAGATGAGATTTGAGAAAATACCTTGTAGAATATAATTTCTATGAAGAGTACAAGATGTGATTATTTTTATTGGAGACTGTTATGCTTCATCGGAAAGACTTATCCTTCCTCCTTTGTTTTTCCCCTAGGACCACTGAGGTTCCTTTCCCAGACAGAATCTGTCACAGCCTTCATGGGAGACACAGTGCTACTCAAGTGCGAAGTCATTGGGGAGCCCATGCCAACAATACACTGGCAGAAGAACCAACAAGACCTGACTCCCACCCCCGGCGACTCCCGAGTGGTTGTCTTGCCCTCCGGAGCATTGCAGATCAGCAGACTTCAACCAGGGGACATTGGAATTTATCGCTGCTCGGCTAGGAATCCCGCCAGCTCAAGAATAGGAAATGAAGCAGAAGTCAGAATTTTATCAGGTATCGCAGTGATCCTTATTCTCTTCAGAATGATATTCTCTGGGATAGTTTTAACAATAATTTTCTTTCTTTAACAAGTATTTGTAATTGCTGTAAGTTCTGTATTATTCATTGGGTTTTGTTTTCTATTATTTCTCCCTTCCTTGCTAGGCATTAGATGAGAGTGTGCCAAAGCTGTCCTTATTTTTGCGTGTCTTGTTATTGAAATTTCTGGACAAAGTTACCTCACCTTAAATTTGGACCAATTTATTCATTTATTCATTCTTAATATATAGTGAGTGCTTCTTTGTGCAAGGCCCATTATGAAGCATTTCTTATGTATTATTTCATTTTCTTCTAATAACAGTCTAAGAGGTAGTTGTTATTATCCCCATTTTTAAAGAATGAAGGCGAGGATTAACAACGTTAAGAATCTTCTCAGCCGGGGGCGGTGGCACATGCCTGTAATCCCAGTGACTCATGAGGCTCAGGCAGGAGGATTGCTTGAAACCAGGAATTCAAGACCAGCCTGGGCAACACAGCGAGACCCTATCTCTACAAAAAATAAAAAATAACTGGGCATGATGGCACACATCAGTAGTCCCAGTCATTCGGGAGGCTGAGGCAGGAGGGTTGCTTGAGCTCTGGGTGAATGCAGACATATAGGTAATTACAAGAAATGCTTATTATGATTTGCATTATATTAATATTGTGTGATTAATATTATGCTAAGGAGAGTTGTTTTCTTCATCTCTTTATCTTCCTTTCTCTTTGGCAAATCTATAAGACTCTGATTTCACTTTCCTAAGCAGAAATTAGATTGGATGGATGTTCCCTAAGATCTCTTTTCTTCCAATAGCTGCTACTATTGTATATCTATGTAATATCTATGTTCTCATTTAGTCTCACTTGTAAGGCTTACTTAGACTCACTTGTGAATAATTGGGACTGGATACTTATCAAAGCCTGGTTGGCTTCTGTCTCTGCACTCTTACTGCGAGTAGTTATCACAAGTACTTCAGCTCTGCAGACAGTAACATTCCTAACTCATTCTAAAAGTCAACTGGCAATTTGATGGAGTTTCCAGGTGCTTTAATAAGGACATCTCTAAAATCTCAAACTCTTTTGTGTATTCTCTCCTCCATTAGTCACAGGGATACTGACTTAAATATGTCAGTAACCACAGGCAACACTGATACATTTCATCCACCAGAGTGACAGATGCAAAGGTAGCATTTATTCTGAACACATACGTACATTTATTTAGGCGTCCATTACATACACATGAATTTTAAATATTTATATTCACATATCATTAATAATGCATCTATTGAGTGTATCACATAGGAAGCCAAGGTACACCACATAGAAAATTGGCAAGAATATGTTTAATTATCTTAATATGACAGAGTTCTGTTTTCCAGTGGTATTAAGGAATCAAGCTGGACTAATGAAGTATTAAATTTGAAATGGAACATCTTGAAAGACATAGAGACATAATCATCAAATTGTCATTTACCTTTATTCACCTTGTAAAATACATTTGCATTGTAATCCATGGAGATTTATCTAAAATCAAATTTCATATTGTTAATTTGGCTAAAATTGAGAATACGTTGGTGTACCTTGGAAGTGTATGGGCATTTCTTACCTGAATGGAAACTTTTTTTTTTTTTTTTCCAAAAACATTACATCTAATTAGAATTTTTAACTGAGTTCTATGAATTCAAATGTAAACTTCATAAAGGAATGATGAGCCAAGGTAATCATTTTGGACCCATTTGTCCTACAGTTTATAAGTTGGTTTATAGGTCAAATACCCAGATCCATAGTAAGTACAAGATTGAGTCAGAGAATAAATGAATGGTAAATCCTAACTTCTGTTAGTTACCACTTACCATTCTCTCATTTTTTAAATCATGCTAATCCTTTCTGAATCAACTTCTGCTTTCTGTAAGTACCAATTTAAGGCAGTAATACATTAAATACATATATTACCCATTCTCTATCCTAACTCTTATTTAATCGGGAAAGGTAGAGTTAATTAAAATAGAAACCCATCATATTATTAACATGACTTAGGGACATTAAAAGTTGTATCAGAATGGGTTAGAACTCTTAAAGATATGTATTTTTCCATAGTCACTAAAGTACCATGTTGACTGATGAAGTTATTTATGTCTTGCTCTCGTTTGAAACATAAATGCTAATGTGAAGTTTTGCAACTTTTTCCAACACTGTGTATATCACAATTCATCAAGAGAGGGTTTGAATTTCTGTGTATGTGTTTATAGAGCGTTATCAAGTTCTAAATAATTTAGTGTATTTATTCAATTCTATGTAAAACATATTTCAAGTGCTCCCTTTTATATATCAAGTACATAATATCACCAAGTAACAAATATGTAAAATTTATATTTTTAGCAATCAAACAGTAGTTAGAGAGTACTGTCTTTCAGCATTTTCAGTTTAATCATTTAAATAAATATTTATTCGATGAACTTTTGAATGAATCATATACCTGCTATCTTACTGGTTGCCAGGAATGAAATGTTGGAAGTCTATGCCCTAAAACAGCTTATAGTCCGGTGGAGGAAATAGATAAAGCAAGTAGGTTGTGGGAGTGGGGGACAAGGGCAACATAATGTAACCTAAACATCTGTACCCCCATAATATGCTGAAATAAAAAAAAATAGCAAGTAGATTGTGCTGTGAAGTAAGAAAACAGAGTACTATTGCCCCGCATAAAAGAGAAATAAATACAAAATATAAATGAACCAATCTTGAAGAACAAGTAGTAGGTAGGCAAAGAGAAGTATATATCAAGAAAAAAGAGCAGTGTGAAAAAAAAATAGAGAGCAAATGCATTTCAGGGGAACTGCACATATTCTGTTTGGCTCACAGGGCACAGGAAATGACAGAGGGGGACAAGCTGGAAGGAGGAGAGGTAAACTGGGTAGGAAGATAAGGTGGAATACCACGGCATTAACCCTGGAGAGAATTAACTAAAAGCTGTTGCTAAGGCTGTATCAGAATGCGTTCAGAAATGAAGATGTTTGGGGAGGTACTCAGAACAGATCTTGGAAACAGATCACATGTGGCCTGTGAGGGAGGACATGAAATCCAGGCCCGGACAAAAGCCAGTTGGTGGCACTTTTCACTGACACTGGCAGTGAAAAAGTGGAGTTATTGTGTTTAAAATAAATGATAGATTTTTAAGAGATTTTTCTGTAACATTTTATCTTTCCAGATGAAAAGAATTATTGTTTCATTCATTGGTAGGAAAATTAGTAAGTAATTGTAACTAATGAGTAACTGTTGATTAATATTTTAAGACAAATTGAGTTTTTACTTATGAGAAGTTATACATTTTTAACAGAGTGAGTTAGTAGTGAACTGTTATAAAGGATTTTTTTTTTTTTAAATATCAATAACAAACACTAAGTGAGAAGTGAGATGTTCTAAAATGTCGTATCATATGTGATGGAGAGTGTATGATGGATTGAAGGGGAATCGTGGTTGTCGGGTTCACTTTATCCATGCCTCATCACATCCGAGTGCCAAGCAGGAGACTGAATTGCAGGATTATAAATCTGCTTGGGGTCCTAGGTTGACTAAAATAGCCGAGGTACTCGGTATTCTTATTTTAGTTTTCTTAATGGCCTAATTGAATCGATCAATTGGCAAGTCAATCTGTTGTTCATTCATTTAACTACAATTTGATGACTCTGGGCCCTGTATAGAACTGAACTAAATATCTATATAATTAGAGGCATAGGCTTTTAATGAAAGAAATCAGACTAAAGCATATTTTGGATGATTTTTCTCTATAATTGTTATTTTTGTCGAAATAAATATTAACAGATACCATCTCGAAATTCATCTACTTTAAAAGGAAAAAAATCTTTTTAGTTTTGAAATCAATAGTTCGAGACTTTTATTCATCACTAAATTTATTACTAAACTCCATGGCGCATTAAACATTTTAGTTTTACTAAATGTTACTTGTATTTCAAAATAAATTAAATGCTACTACAATCTATTTTATAATTTCTACAGGATAATGATCTACAGGGAATAACAAAGAGATATATTCTTTGCTTTTTAAATTTATCATCAAGTTAGGTAATAAATTCATGTAGCCATATGACTAACATAAGGCAGGGAAGGGTAAATTCAGGTAAACATAGCTAGTTCCAAATGAAGGCAGACAAAGAATAAATCAGTTCTAGGTGGACAGTTTGGAGTCCTTATAGATAATTACTTTTCTAGGTCATAAGAGGAGAACTGTTTGTAGAATGATTCCAATAGATGATAAATCTGAAATGAGAAGTTGAACTCACTGGATGGAGCGTTTGGAATCCCATGTCTAAGAATTTAGACTTCATTCTATTAACATGATTGGTGGTTGGGAGTCCTTGAATGTTTTTGAGCAATGGATATTCTGACATAAAAAAGTGCTATTATGGGGGACATCAACAAAGCTCAGGGTTTCAAGATGGAAATCAAAATATTAGGGGAACCCATTACATTTTTCTTGCCATGCCTATCATTCTAAAGTGACCAATGATCTCCTCACCATATTCACAAGTTTTTTTCCTATTTTTACCCTTGACCTTGAGTTATGTTAGATATTGATTATATATATTACATATTATATTATTTTAGATATATATTAATATATAACATAAATATAATATCTAACATTATAATCTCCTCTTAGCTTCCATTCCCTGAAAGATTACTCTTTTCCATAAAGTCAAAGACAAAAATGATATATTTGGGATTGTCTTACACACAGAGGCATGAATAGTTTTTGGAAAGCAGAAAACTTGTCATTTCCCAAGAGTCTATTATGTCCAACATGTGACAGATTCTGCATTTACTCAGAATATGACATTTAGCAGCCCTGGGTGGGTAGACTGAAGGGTCAGGCAATCTTTTGTGACCCCCGTACAAACAAGAAGACTTCCCTAAGTGTGTGTAAAAGCCAAACTTATAACCTATGAAGCAAAAGTCAC